GATTATAATGGTTTTACTTATAATTTAACATTGATTATAAAACTCATGTCACAAAATTAAATTTTTTTAACGATGAGTTAATATATTTTTAATTTTAGATGACACACAGAATTTTTAAATAAGAAAAAATTAATTCTACTTATATATAACCAAAACTTACTAATTCTTAACATAACTCATATTAGACTTGTAGCAAAACTTACACAGTTTAATACTATTTTAATTTTTTTTAATATAAGTTAAAAATAATTTTAGTAATTAATTTTCAATTAAAATTGCTGAAAGAAAAATTAATCATACTCTTCTGAGTTTATAAAAACCTATTGGAAGAAACTTCCAGAAAGTAATAAGACTAAAAAAAATGTGTTTAACAATTACTGCATTGAAGTTGGATATACTGTGTTATTTTATACTTAGATATCCTAATGCAGCACAGGAAAAAATCCAGACATCCCCAAGAATGATTTTATATTGTACAAACAATTTTATGTGTTATATTAGTTATTATTTTTTAATATTACACACTTAGGAATTAATCACTAATAAAATTGCACAAGACAATTTTTACAGCACATATTTGTTATAGAAAAATTAGTTTTCAAATGGATCTCTTAGATGTTAAAAAATAAGTTACTGTTAGATAAAATTTTGTGGATCGACTGAAAAAACAGTTAACTAACAGTTTTTTGATTTGATGAAAATATTTTGTAATTATTGGATAATTAAAAAATAAAATTCTCAAAGATAAATATATATTCTAACAATAGAGAAAACTTTTTCAAAAATGTACATTTGTATTAAACACTATTAATTTTATGTTACTTAATGAATGACTATTATCATTCGAGTATTAATAACATATGTCAAATGTGAGAAATTGTACCAGAAAATAATAAGCAAAATGTATATTATTGTATAATAACTATAGTAGCAAATAAATGCTAATTGAATAGAACATTTTAATTTAAATTTTACAATATTATTAATAATAATATAATTAATTTAATATTGTGGTGTTTCTGTAGCCACGTGACCCTGACGTTGCAACATATACGATCAATGCGCCCTATTACTAACAATGCAATCGAAATATAATATAACTTTCGATGCATAATCAAACTATAGATAATGTCGGAGTTTTTACTATCTCATTTTTTAAATTTAATGTCGGAGTAAAATCCGTCATAATTTTGGTAACCTATGAATCAGATGGTCGGAGTACCAGATGTTCGTAACAATTACTACTTTGTCAAATGTCGAAGTATGTAAATGTCGGAGCATCATCAGTTCGTGGCAAAGGTGCTCTCCCTTATCATGGCACTGTCTTAAATATTTTTCCATGATAAACTATTCCGTATTATTTAATTCCTGATAAGTATTTTCCTTGTTTGTATAGCCCATTGTATTTAATAGCTGATTATCATTTATTGATAAGTGACGATCACTGTCTTCAAATATTTTTGACTGGATTTTTTTAACTGTGTAATTTAGTGTATTTCTAAAGTGACAATACAGTGTTGAAAAATTAATTTAAATTTTGTATAGTTTATTAAAGAAGTTAAATAGCATTTTAGATGTATTAGTAATGGCTTTTTAATCACAATTGTCTTTATTTTTGTAGATTCCTATAAATTATGTCAAATTATATGAGGTTTTTAATAAAATTTATAGAAATTTTATTTAAGTGTTTAACTGATTTTTAAATTAAAAAATGATTGAATTTAATACTTTTGTTTTTTTAATTGTAATTTTTTTTCTATTCTCTCTAAAGTGGTAAGTTTGGTAATTATTATTAAGAATTAATGTAAAATATTTAGTATCTTAAATGTTAAAATTAGGTTATTTCCCAAAACAATCAGCTTGTATTTGAAATATAAGTATAATTTAAATGTAAAAATTCGTGCATCTGGTTTATTTTCTCTTCAAGATATAATTATTATTAAAAACGGATATTCAGTGGTAAATATTCTATGATAAAGTATCAAATTTCTATTATAATTTTTTGGATTTTATAGCAAATAGATAATATTGGGTTCCGAAGTAGTTTTATTAGTAGTGAAGTGAATAAATTAATATGCCTTGTGATTCAAGATGTAAGAATAGAAAAAAATTTTGATTGGTATGATGTATCCAAAACAACTTCTAATAACAACAAAGTTAATAATGTTTTACCAATTTTTATGAAATTAGCTCAAGTATGTTAACATCAATATATTAGTTATTTTCTTATAAATAACCTATGTTTTTAGTTTTTAGCAATTCGAATTAGTTGTATATCAGCTGTATGCCTACAGCCAAATAGTCCTGAATGGTTGTTTGTTATATCTGTCATTGATCTACATTTAGATGCATCTATAATTGGATCATACAAACAGTTATCAGTAAACTGTCATGCTCCACATGCTGAAGCAAAACTATTTCATCATCCTAAAAATGCAAATTCTTATTGTTTAGCTAAAGTTACTGTTAATATTTGTGCAGAAAGTATATTATATTTGCATGGACCATCTACAGTTGAAATTTTAACATTGAAACTTGATAAATCAAAAATTATTTTAAATAAAGGATTGTATAAGTTTGTACAAAGTAATTGTCATTATGCTGTAAATTCTAAATCTTTAAAAAACTATGATGAAGTTTTTACAAGTGTTCCATCGTTTCTTCCATCACTAGTACCCAAAGTACGTTGATTTATTTTTGGAAATACTGTAAGCATATAATGTATTAGATGTTCTGTATTTATTATTATAAGTAAAACTATTCCTCGCAATGATTAATATATACAGGTTTATCTCTTAATTGTTGATTACTAGATTTCTTCTTAAATAATATTTATTTTATTTTCTTTATTTTGTAGTATAATTTGTTTAAAATACAAATTAGATGTAAGGTGCAGATTATGCTATTTTTATCATTACGCAGCATTGCTACACTTCTCTTCTCATACAAGTTTTCAAAACTTCTACAAAACTGCCTCAAAAATTATATTGATCAGTTATACCTTAAATTATATTATTTTCCATTATCTAAGTTGGTTTAATCTATATATAATATAAAAAAAAAAAAAAATTTGGTACTCTTATAAAAGTTAAGAGATGGACTAAAAATATACTCTAATAATTAGAAATTGGGAAATAAATATTATTTTAAAAGTACCTAGAAGCTAATAATAAGTTAATCACTCTGTTTGAAAAATTCTGGTAATGAGTTACAACCAGTCGCAAATTTATTAATTTTTTTAATTATATACGCTTGTACAGAATTGACAATACATTCATAAAAACATTAAGTACATAATAACAAACATTATAGTATACAGATCATAAAAATAATAAAAGTTGATGCTATAGAAAAATATTTTAGGCTAAGATTACTAAAAAACTATACAAAAGCTTCGAGAAAAAAAAACATGAAGATGATATGAATAAAAAAAAAAATAATATAACAAAATAAAGAGGTAAGAGTTAAAGAAATATGACTAGTGCAGTTAGTAGTTCACCTAAAAATTGTATCGGATATATAGAATATGTGGTAGAGTGGATGATTGTGTTCATAAGATGTTGAATGAATATTATTAGAGCTGTACATCTGTTAGTAAAAAGTGTTGAATTTTCTTGCTAATTAATGCAGTTGTTACCATCCACTTTTAGGTTATAGTTGAGTACAAGGGTTTCACTGTACCCTATCAAAAAAAAAAAAAAAAAA